TTAGATTTTTTTTAAAAAACTCACCTGGATAGTAAGTATACTTGAAATTTTTTTTTAGAGTTTTGGAAATTTTGACCGGCCAAGTTATGAGAACTAATTTATTAAGTTTGTATGGCCTTATATATAATATAAAATTTTTTAATTTATACTATTCATTTTTAAATTTTAACCAACTTTTTAAATATACATAAATTTTAATTGTTTTTGGTTTTAAACTATATCTTTTAGAAGAAATTAAATCTGCACTATTAGAAAAAATATGCTCAATAGAAACACTTATTTCTAATTATATAATAAAAATTAAATAAAATAAATAAAAATAATATATATTAAAATAATTTAATTTTAAAAATCTACTTTACCTGGAATTGCTAAAAAAATCTCTAGCCATTTTTGATAGTTTTTTTCATAAATTAATTTTTTTATTTAATTAAATAATTTTTATTTAAATAATAAATATATAATATAAATTTTATACCTTCCAAAATATTAATATATCTATATTATAATTTGATGGAGATTCTTGTAAATATTTTATAAGTTCATCAACCTCAGTATATTTTCTTTTATTAACTATATAAGCTATAAGTCTACTAGAATTATTAGTTGCTTGATTATAATTTTGATTTAAAGCTAGCATATATTTAGTTTTCTATAAATTAACAATTTCTTGTTGATATTTTTCAATAGTTTTATCCTTAAAATCATGATCTTTAAAATATTCAAACTTAAAACATGGATTAATAACTATAAATAAACAAATAATTAGATTTAATTAATTGCTGATCTGGATAAGATCAGCAGAATTTTTATATTAGAATTTGGGGAAATTACTATGTTTTTAATTATATGCTGAAATCTTACAACCACCTGTTTACATAGAATTTTATATAGTTATCCAATTGTTTTTTAGTGATATCTCAGCATATATTAGGCCAATTTGAATAATCTAACTACCATTAGATGTGTCTCAGTGAGTTTTACAACTTTAAATTAATTGACTTAGCTATTAGCTTAATAAAAAAATCACTTACATCAGCAAAATATATTAACGTAATTTTACGTAAGTTATTACGGCCCGAAATATTGCGCAATAATTACAGTCTGGACATAATATT